ACTGAATTGAAAAATGCTGCATATTCTGAATTGATTATCCATCTATCTGATAATGTGGCTAGAAAATTTTCTACTATCACTGACCCTAAAGTGTTATGGGATACCCTTGAGTCTACTTACATGAAAAAATCTATGTCAAGAAAGATCTCTCTGCTCTGTAGACTGTTTACCTTTAAGATGAATGTTTCTGTGTCCTTATCTGAAAACTTGGATAATTTTCTGAAATTGACTCAAGAAATTGAAAAGGTAGATGAAAAGATAAAAGACACCCATCAAGCTGTTATCCTGTTAAATTCTTTACCACCCCAGTTTGATAATTTCAAGGATGTCATTCAGTACTCTAATGATGATCTCACCCCTGGTAAGATCACTGATGCTATACTTGAGAAGAATGAATCCCTGAAAGTTTTTAAGTCTAAATCTGATCCCTTTAATACTGATAAAGCTGAGACTAAGAATGAAGCCCTGGTTATTAAAGGGAAACCAAAGAATAAAAAGAACAATTCAAAGAAGAAGAATAAAACTGATAAAGATAATTCTGATAAGAAAACCTTCAAATGTCACTACTGTGGCATAGAAGGACATTTTGCAAGAGACTGTAGGAAAAAGAAAAGGGACAAACAAGGTGATAATAAGAACAATCCTAACCCTACTCCTAACACAGAATCTGCAAATGTTTTTCAACATGAATTGCTTGTTTGCTCTGGATCTTCTTTGAATGATGAATGGATTTTAGACTCTGGGTGTACATTACATGCCACTCCTAACAAGACCTATTTCTCTTCCCTGACTCAAAATGATGGGGGAAAGGTCATGTTAGGAGACAATACTGCCCTTGATATCAAAGGTGTTGGTAATGTTCCGCTGAGGATGTTTGATGGGGTTGTAAGGGTTATCCAAAATGTTAGATGGGTTCCCTTCTTAAGAAGGAATCTCTTGTCTGAATCTGTTTTTGATGATCTGGGTTGCACTATTAATACACAGGATGGTTATAAGGTTGTTTCCAGAAATGGAAATGACCTTATTAAAGCTAATAAGAGTGGGGGACTTTACTTAGTTAATTGCTCCCCTGAACTTAATTTAGCTGTTTCTGTTAATAATAGCACCACCCAGAAACAAACTGAGATTTGGCACAACAGATTGGGTCACATTGGGAATGTGGGTTTGAATAAGCTGTTTAAAACTGGATTTTTTGACTTTAAACCTGTAAACCTTGGTTTTTGTGAAAATTGTACTTTTGGTAAGAAAACCAGACATTCTTTTGAACAATCTTCATATGTTGCTTCTACCCCCTTGGAATTGGTTCATTCTGATTTATGGGGACCTTCTAAAGTGAGCACAACTGGAGGTAGGAAATATTTTCTATCTCTAGTTGACCACTTTTCCAGGAAGGTGTGGATTTTCTTACTAAAAACTAAGGATGAAACTTTTGAAAACTTCAAGAATTGGAAAACTTTGGTTGAGTCTCAATCCAATTTTAAACTGAAAGCTTTGAAAACTGATAATGGTCTTGAGTTCTGCAATAATGAATTCAATGGTTTTTGCAAAAATGAAGGGATCAAAAGATTACTTACTGTCCCTGGTACTCCTCAGCAGAATGGCACTGCTGAAAGGATGAACAGGACCTTGCTTGAAAAGGCAAGGTGTATGCTCATCAGTTCAGGCCTTGGAAATTCCTTGTGGGGTGAAGCAGTGGTTACTGCCTCATACCTTATTAACAGATCCCCATCTTCTGTGATCAGTTTTAAAACTCCACAGGAAATGTGGTCTGGTATTAAACCAAACATTTCTCATTTAAGGCCTTTTGGGTGTGCTGCTTATGCCCATGTTTCTCAAGGTAAACTACAACCTAGGGCCTTGAAATGTGTAATGTTAGGTTATCCTGAGGGAATTAAAGGCTATAAGCTACTGGTTTTACAACCAGGGGCTTATAAGTGTATTGTATCCAGAGATGTTACTTTCAATGAATGTGATTTTCCTTGTAAAAGAACTGATACTGCTTCAAGTAAGTATGCAGGTGTTTCTGATGGAAATTTCTTTGAATCTTTGGATGATGATGACTCTTTGTATAAAGAGGATCATAGTGGAATTTTCCACAATGATGCAAATGATTATTCAGAATCTGACACAGATCAACAAGATGACCTCAATGGAGATGAACAGGTAGTGGTGAGTTCAGACTCACAAGGTAGTAACTCTGGTTCTCATACTACCTCTGTGCATGAACTAACTGATACTGCTGTTAATGATAATGTGCATGTTGATAATAATGACACTGATAATCATAGCACACCAAATTTGGCTGACTATCAACTGGTTAGAGATAGAGAACCTAGAACTATTATTCCTAATAAAAGATATTTCTCTAATCTTGCTGAATTTGTGATGATTGCTGCTGAAGTAGTTAAACAGTTAGCTCCTGATAACTTTGAACAAGCTATGATGTGCCCTAAGTCTAATGAGTGGATGAAAGCCATGCAGGAAGAACTTCAGTCCATGTACTTTAATAGGACCTGGACTTTAGTTCCTAAACCTAAAAATGCTAAAGTAATTGACTGTAGGTGGATTTTTAGGTTAAAAGATAGTCTTGATCCTACAGAACCTCCTAAGTTTAAAGCCAGGCTTGTAGCTAAAGGTTTTAGACAAAAGGAAGGTATTGACTACCAAGATATCTTTGCACCTGTTATAAAATTCAAAACTTTGAGATTAATGTTGGCTATAACCACTGTTTTTGACTGGGAGTTGGAGCAAATGGATGTTAAAACTGCTTTTTTGCATGGAGACTTAAAAGAAACCATTTTCATGTCTCAACCTCCTGGTTTTATCAACAAAGAGTTTCCTGAACATGTTTGTCTTCTTAAAAAATCAATCTATGGACTTAAACAGTCTCCCAGACAATGGAATTTGAAGTTTGATTCCTGCATGAGTGAACTTGGTTTTTTAAGGAGTAAATATGATACTTGTCTGTATTATAAACATGTTGGAACTGAAAATGTTGTTTATATCTTGTTGTATGTTGATGATATTCTCTTAATTGGTCCATGTAAAATGCTGATTGTTAGTGTTAAGGATGATCTGAAATTGCATTTTGACATGAAGGACATTGGTTCTGCCAAGAGGATTTTGGGAATAGATATCACTAGGGATAGATCTAATAGAAGCATGTTCTTATCTCAGGGTGATTACTTGAATAAAATCCTGGATAGGTTTAATATGAATGACTCTAAATCAACCCCCTTACCCTTAGGAGGGCATTTAGAACTCTCTAGAGATCCTTGTCCAATGACTTTAGAAGAATCTGAGAAAATGGCTAAGATTCCCTATGATGTTGCTTCTGGTTCTCTTATGTATGCCATGCTTTGTACTAGACCTGATCTTGCTTTTGCTGTTAGTATACTTAGCAGGTTTATGTCTGATCCTAGGATCAAACATTGGACTGCTATGAAATATACTCTAAGATATTTGTCTGGTACTAAAAACCTTGGTTTGAAATACTTTAATGCTGATTTGTGTGATCTGAAAGGTTTTGTTGATTCTGATTATGCTGGGTGTAAAGACTCAAGAAAATCAACCACTTCTTGGTTCTTTACTTGGGCTGGTAACTGTATATCTTGGAAATCTCAATTGCAATCTGTAGTAGCTCTGTCTACTACAGAGGCTGAATATATTGCAGCCACTGAGGCTATCAAAGAAGCAAAATGGTTAAAAGGTATTCTGGGTGAGGTATTGGGGACAAGCATTGTTCCTACTGTCTTCTCTGATAGTCAAAGTGCTATATATTTGTGCAAAGACCCTATGTATCATGAAAAAACTAAACACATAGATGTTAGATTTCATTACATTAGGGATGAGATTTCTAAAGGCAACATAAAAATTGATAAGATTACTAGAGATGTTAATCCTGCTGATTTTGGTACTAAAATTGTTCCTGTTGCTAAGTTTTTGTTTTGCAGGCAGTTCTTCAAAGTCTTTGAAGTACCTTGAACATGAGGGTACTTGTTTGGGTTGATGATGAAAGGTGTTAACTGGTCCAAAGAATCCTAATACTGGCAATGATGAAAGTATGCTCTAATGAGCTGTGCTGCACCGGAATTAGTCTTAGGAGGGCAAATTGTTATATTTGTAATCCTAATTCTAGTTATTTTTTAACATGATGTTTAGTACATAGATAGGAAGGTAAAGCAAGGTTAGGAAATTAATTAGGTCTGACCCGTTTCAGTTCATTCCATTGGTTTGGGCCTGATTATTTCCTTGGTCCAGTTCGGTTTTCATTATTGACCCAGCTCACTTGATACGCCTATAAAGGCGTCTCTTTGACCTTTCTGGAATGATTCGATGCGTCATTCTTCAAACCCTAAATCTGAGAGGCTATTCCTTTGAGAGCTTGAGCGTTGATTGTGCGAGAAACCTCTGGTTCTCATTTCCTGATCTGAAACCACTTGATGCCAAAATAAGCTGAGGAAGGCAAGGAGTATATCGTGTGAAGAAGCCTAGATCCAGAGCAGTTGATTCGACTCCAAGAATCTGACAACTCCTGGGTTTTTTGTTGGTTTCGTCCGGTTATTTCTATTCCTTCTCTTATTTTATTAGTGCGCTTGTGTTTGGCTGATTCTTGTGTGTTAGATCTGTTAGTTTCATGCCTTGCTTTGCAACCATCTGTGTATTCAAACTGTTCTGAGCTAGTGGATTCTTGGGACCGGGTTTCCCCTGTTGAAACCCCGCAGAGTAGGATTTATCCGAACTGCGTCAACATATCGTGTGTTCATTTCTTTATTTTCTGTATTAGTTGAATTTAGAGTTGTGAATCCGATATTTTGGCTGTGACTATCAATATAGTCTGTGAACACGATGCCTGCAGCCGTACGGCCGGGCTGTATGGTATACGCTTCCACATAATTAAATAACTACGGAGTATTTAATTAGAAACAATTTTAATACTCCGTAATGAATAATAATCAATAATTGTAATAAATAAAATGAAATAGAAATGGATAATCAAAGGCATGTTCATCAGAAAGACTGATCGAATAAATTAAGGAGTTTTACGTCTTACTACGTCTTTATTATCATTTGATCTGTACTTATTTTATTCATCTGATCTAATTAATTAATAGTATAATGACATGGAGATGGAGATTCAATACTAGTGGCGGCGGCCATTGTTTCTTCGCTCAAGTTACTGTAAAACTTCTTGATGAACTCTTCGGCGTCCATATCCACGTGGACGCCGGAGCTCTCATCCGACTCCGAGAACGGCGAGTCGGTTACCCGCAGCTGCCTCACTGGCTCCGGCACCAGCGGGGACGACAGCGCGTCCCCGGCGGGCCCACCGTTCCAAATCTCCAATGCCCTCCGGAACCCATCGCTCCCTTCGGCGTCGTCGGCGCTGCTGTACCCGCGGCTGTTGCGGCGGCGGTGCTTTTTGCTTTTGCCAAAAAGGGCCGCCCCCGCTTGCGGCGTGTTGCGGCAGCTGAACTCGTAGTACTGCTGCGGCCCGACGATGGCGACGGAGGTGTCGGACCGGCAGGTGAGGGCGGCCTGCAGGTTGAGGTGCTGGTCAATGAGGTCGGTCAACGCTTTTCCGGCGTGTTTCCCGCGCTTTAGGGTGATGTTAAGGGCCAGTTGGAGGTCAAGCAGTAGTAGCTTCCTCTTTGACATCCCCTTCTTCACCACATAGACTGCAATCCTCACTATCTTCCATAGCTTCTTTCCTAATATTTTTGGTGTCATTTGCTCCATCTCCATCTTTGATAGAGATAAGAGTGAGAGCATGCAGAAATGTTAAGAAATTCAAAGAGAAGGAGAGTTGTTGTGGATCTTTGGTGTTTTTGTTTAGTTGGTATAAATGAGGGTGAGATGAATTGAAGGAATGGGTGAGTGTCATATATATATATAGCCGTAGATTCCATTATTTAGTACTACCTCCAAGCCTCCAAAAACCACTTTATTATTAGGTTACTTTTGCTAAATGGTTGAAAGTCATCCATCTCCTAATTTTATACACATATCAAATGATACCGCGACATTTAAGGTAAAAAATGAGAATGAATTCTAGTATTCGGCGACATTGTACTAAAACAACATATATTGAATTGTATTACAAGTAAAAGATGTAATAAACAGAATTTTTAGAAATATTTACAAAAAAATCACCCCACATGATTGCACTTCTTAGTGCAATATGAAGTTGTTTTAGTGTAACTTTCTCATATTAATCCATCTAATTGTTGTGATTCATTTTCATATCTCTTACACACACATATACAAGTAAATAATATGCATTGGCTCTAGAGGAAGCAGTCCAACTTAGACACCAACTCAATATCCCATATGAGAAGTCCGGAGTTCGAAGTTCCATCAAAACAGTTTAAGCCTTATTTACTTCAGGTCCTCTTGCCTTCTTGCGTTAAACAATGTATCGACACTAATAATTACAAATTATGTATTCTAAAATTATGCTATAGAGCTATACTGAAGTTATACCGAATCGCAAAATTGGATTAAAAATGATTCTCCGTAAAAATTTATTGAATAAATTTATACGGAGTATATTACAAGAGAGTTAAGTTGATTAAATATGTATATGTAGTTAAAATCCAATAGTATTTCAGAGCCCTGATCCTGTTTTTCGGCTTATCGAATTTATCAATCAACTTTTTCACCAAACACGTAATTTTTTATTTCGCACACTGAATTGTGTAATACGGAGTAATAAGTAAAAGTAAGCTTGAAGTTACTTTCTGACTTATTGGCTGAAGTTACTTTAAATGATCATTTTAGTTGTTTTTCATATAATTTATTCTTTATTTTATTAATAAAAAATACAGAGCACGCATTTGATTTTTTTTTCATAAATCAACAGAATCAGCCAATTCAGTCGTTAGAACATAATTAATTTTAACAGAATCGGTAAATACATGAATATTACCAAGTGGGTTCTTATATAACATTAACAACACACCAGCATTAGTAATATACTAAGGGGAGTGTCCCCAACATGGACTCTTATGGATTTTAATGGAATTTAGAATTCCATTAAAATCTCGGTGTCCTCAATTTAGATTTCGATGGATTCTACGAAAGTATTGGTGTCCTCAAAATCTATTAAAATCATTATTGAGGACACCCCTAAATTACTAATGATTACTTAAAACACAAACCGTGTTTCTCATGCGCAAGTCTTTATACAAAAGTCCTTTTGGAGAGTATAAAACTACCTTTGGAGAGGCCCAATGAAAGTATGAAGATGCTAGAAATACTTTACTCTCAAAGTCAAACTGTGAAATTTTAGAAATTACACCATTACTTGTCAAAACAAAAGTTACCCCACTGTTCAACATTATGTCATTAAAATCACCAATGACGAGCCACACAAGATCGCTTGGGCTCGCCAGGTTGTACAACATATCTGAGGCCTCTTTTCTCCTTCCTCGCTCCGGAATGTCATAGAGTGCGTGTGTCGCCACCAATCATCTCCTCCGTTCATATGAACGGATCAATCTATTAAACATCGGAAATCTAGGTCAAAAATGCATTCAGAACTTGTATAAATTAAAACTTGTTCCATATGTGTTTCCTTTAATTTTCTTGTATATGTCATTCCAAAATAACAAATGTTATTAGAATTGCAAAACTTCTTGTGACACTTAGGATTCACCTAGTCTTGCTTAACCTTCAAATTATTCGGGTTTGATCTTGTCACCTTGTCACGCCTCACACATTTTAGAACATTGGATTAATTACTTTCACGTGGTAACTATTTGTTTTAAGAAATGGCAACTATATATTTAAAATAAGAATATTAATAAATTTTCATTTAAGTTTATGTGTGTGTATTCTTATGTTCTTTCATATCGGACCAATTATAAACTTTTTGTTACATTAAAGGTAATTGTTTCGGTTTTTTACTGTTTCGGACCGAGTTATAGATTTTAGAAACCGCTAGAAAACTCGATTTTTCAAGCTCAATTCAGATATTTTTCTTCGGGTCATCCAAAAATAAGAGAATCTGCATCGATGAAATTTTATTGTACGGGCTAGGATTGGTTTCGGGATTTGGATTCGCCCTTTTCACCCCTATTTAAAATAGTATTGAATTGTTAGGTGGCATTCCATGATTGACTATCGTGAAAGACAAAAAATGTTGAACAAAATTGCGCTTTGTGAGTTGTCGACTTGGTGCAAAATTTTCAAAAAGTATTTGCCTAAATCCCAACTGTGCAGTGCGACTATAACATGACCATTACATTGACAGCTGCCTGGCCTATCACCTTTCTATTTAAATTATTACTCCGTATCAAAAGACTACTTTTAATTTATCACAGACAAAAAACTAGCGATTTGTTTCGCTCAACGCGCAAACATTGTTGCCAATATAACTTTGCAACGATCGTTTATGCTTTTTTCAATACCTCATTCGCACACATTGTCGGTCTATACAAATAAAGTCAAGAGAATATACACAACTTTCGTACTTTTAGACGAATTGTTTGTATATAAATAATTTTACTTGTCTAAATAGATGATGTGTGCAAATAGTGTGCACAAAAGATGTAAACCCAACATTTTTGTGTAACTTTAGACTTAATATGGTGAATACATTGATTGGATTCTGTGATACCACGTTACTTACTAGAGGTCTTAGGACAATACTACGTATTATACTCCGTAACAAATTGCTAATTCATTGTGGCGGCTAATTAGCTCTATTGTCAATGCCTATACTTTTTGTGTTTCATAGTTGCTTGACTTTTGCTTTTCATCCTAAGAAATAAAGAAAATAGTGAAATTTCTCTTGAGAATCCGTTTTTTAAATGGTAGAATTGGCTAAATTTGTTTAATTATTATAAAAAGTATATTCAAAATGTATTTTTTTTTAATAAAATAAAGAAAAAGGTGTATGAAAATAAATAAAATGATCCTTTTTGTCAATTTTAGTCAATTCAATCAGAAAAGTGACTTCAACCTCATTTTTCTTGTTGATTACACATTTTGCTCGTGAAATGAAAGTTTGATAGGGATGTTATCTAATAAGATTGCTAACCCGAAAATACGGAATATGAGTTATCAAACGGACTCTAAATGTGAATCACACCCTTCCGTTATCAAAATCAATGACGGGAGCACTGAAATCGTTTATGTCTATTAACAACGGGATTTCTCATATACTATTAATAGTGTTAAATTGTTCATTACGAAGTCATATACATAGTATATATGTTTTGACTTCTGTTTTTTCCATAAACATATCGTAGTACGCTACTATGAAATAATGATATCATCTGTTTCCAATGTACTCCGTATAAGAAAATGAAATAATGAAATCATGCTTCCTCATGAACAGAAGATTATATAACCAAAAACAATGAAGAGAAGACAAAGTAAATGGTGAACACTCATAAAATGGTTCTCGAAGGCGTGTAAATCTAAACTCATCTGATTAAGTTAAAATTTAACTAGTCATTTCAATTGTATGTGGCACAATATTTAATTTTCTTCATGATATTGATAATTTTAGAATTTTTATGGGGATAATTTTCAAAATATAATATTTCTCTATACATTATAACGTGTTCGGTAAAAATTATTTTATGAAATTGCATGTCGAAGCTTATGCATGTAACATGAAGATAAATAACTAATTAGATACATCATACATGAGAACAATTTCTAATTTGGTGCTCTTTAAATTTCATGTAGTTCAGATGATGATGGTTCTATGGATGTCCTTTGTTCTCGTAGAGCCTTGCGGTTCTTTCTAGCGAGCTTCTCGATCTTAAGATTAAGAGGGATAAGCGGTTCTCCCCTCTTAGAGCGTGTATGCATAAACTGATGTGACCTTCAAGGTTAGCAGACAAAAATCCTACAAAAAACTAAAAAGAAAATCGTTGAGTCTAATTAACTCTTAAATCCGACAACGTCCCCGGCAACGATGCGAGAAACTGATGTGAGTTTTCTCGCGCTTAAAATAGATTGTAGTAAAGGGTAAAAGTACGACTATCGTCTCCACATGGACGGACAAAGGGGTTAAGAATTAAATAAATTCAACGATTAGAATAAAAATAAAAAAATGCAATTGTGCGAGATTGGTTGGTTTGGAAAATTAAAATGCGACTAAACGAAGCTTGGTTCTTTCTAATTAACGACGAAGGGAACATGGATTGATTCCGGGGTAATCAGATTTCTGGGTGTTCAGGCTTAATTACATGAAATTAATTTAATTGAGCAACGCCAATCAATACTAAGTTCTTACCTCTCTCGCGGCGTAGAGTACAATAATTTATAGGACCAGGCTGATCTCTCATGCGACAGGATCCTTAATTATTACTGAAACGAGCGAGCGTATGGCTCTTTAATCGTTACTAATTTCTTAGCGAACGATTAAGTGTGTGTGAAGGTGTCCTAGAATAAACTAGATCTCTCTTAATTTATTCTACAAGCAATTGTAATTCTAGCTGCAGTTCTAGGTTGCAAGAGATATCAATTAAATCATTCAAACACAAATAAAATCACATTCATGCTATTAATGTGACACCGCACCCGAATATACTTTGAATTTGAAAATTTAACATGTACTTGAATTTCCTGGCGATTAATATTGTGTAAAAGAATGGTACATTTAATTAATGAATGATTAACTAAATTATTTATCGGGCTCATGATACTGAGAGCGGGCTACCAAATATTTAGTTGGGTCATCATAATAATTATACAAGCCCAATAAAATGCCAACCAAAGTTGAGGAAAATGTTTGGGCAACCCAAGTGTTATTTTGACCAAACCTGCCAGAAATAGCAGGAATAATTGGGAGAGACTTCCTACACCCACTTGGGTATTTTCCTACATGTCTTGTAG